ATCAGTGATACCTCCCCTACACCCGCCACCTCCACCGCCCATACCCTTCCCTCCAGTTGCATCGCTCTCCAACAAACCAGTCATCCAAACACCTCCGTTACCACCGCCATACAGTCTGAATTCCATGTTCCATTCGCAAGGAATACGGCCCAATTTAGGCTCGATTTCTGCATCTGGTGTGTCAATCCAAAATTCGTTACAGCACCCACCGTTACCGACAGGCAGCTTACTGTACCGGAAAGTGCATCCCGATAAGGTTGGTATTCTACTGTTTGTTTTATGATGTTGATCTAATGAAATGATGAAAGTAATTTCCTTGTCGTTTGGCGTTCATGTTTTTTTCCTGTATATGTGCAATCCTTATACGTTTAATACTGTATTTCTTTAAATTTAGATTTATCTTTCTACCTATATCTTTATCTGTTAGAGTGGTCAACGTAACTAATTTGTGAATGTTTTCCAATTACTATCGTTTGTTTCGTTGAAGCCTTCTTGATTCGAGTACAATTTTTTGAAACATGCCCATAGCTCTTTCCACATACATCTTTGTTGTATAATGGTAGGGCTTCCTCTTGAGCTGTTCAAACTGAATTTCGTTCTGAATCATTAATAGAGATTGTAATGCTACTTAGTTTCACTGATTCATTGAGCAATTGAACCTCTTTTTTATTCTAATACTTTGTAACTGTTCTTGGACGGAGTTATCCACCAGTATCTCATAATCGTCTTTTCGCTCCCACCCTTCCGGTTCCCTTCACTTTAGTCTTGTGGTCGTTGGTCCGATGCCCACGTGCGTATTGCTCGTTTCATCCATGTTTGTCAATCGTTGCGACCGGGATCATCACACCGGGATGATCGTAAACACATCTCTCCAGGCACCAGTTTCCCTACAACGCCCCATTCTGTAGTGAGACCAGTTGCACGTCCTGCCCAGCCCCATCCTTTAAATTCACGTACCGTTCTGAATCCAAATATTGCACATCACCCACCTCGTCTGCATAGTCCACAAATGTTGTCCGGTCCACGTCAGTGGGATAGTCTAGTACATCCAAGACCTTTGAATCAGCCACCAATTTCGACTGCCAATATGAATTCGGGATCAACGAATACATCCGTGGAGGATCTCGAGAAAAATGCGTTTTGGAACTACATGAATAATGTGATGGCCAGTCTACCCCCATCTGAGCTGGTACCAAGCCATTCTGTGCACGGTACCGAAGCGATGGACCTATTCTGGACTTCGGTATTGCAAAGGTTGGGCAGATCAGCCAACAGCACGATTGGTAAAAACAACAACAACAACGCCCATTTGAATCTGAATAACCATCCCACAAATCCTAATGCGTCTAACAATTGTGGAAAACAGCCAGCACAACTCTACTCCACTTCCAGCCGTACCAACTCCGGTCTCACTTCGTTGTCATCTGAGCCGACCTTGCCCAGTGCGGATCACATTCCACTTCACGGACCGAGACATGCCCCATCCAATCCACCCATGTTTCCTCACCCAAGTAATTCCTTGCGGCACGGTTCTCATTCAGGACCACATGTTACGCCACAGTTAAATCATATGGACGGGAATGGTATTCGACTTGGATTGGATATGAAACGACCACGTCTTGAACCGACATTGGGTCACTGTGATCAAACTGCTCAGACTCCGTTTCCGCTTCTTCAGAGGCTGCCGCATCCGAATGCCCTATCCACTAGTGCTCCACCTCATAACAAGCAGGATTTACTTGAGGCTGCAGCTAGACTGTTAAATGGATTTCATGCACTTCCTCCGGTTCCTACGGGTGGTGTTATGCACCAAACAAATCTTGGTCTGAACGAACCAAGTGGGCCCGATAGTCTGGACAAAAACCGGTTAAAAATGGGCGGCGTAGCATCAAATCTAGCTCCCATTCATCGCTGGTGACACAAATCACGGGTTTGGATCGAACGAACCGGTTCTGTACAACAGAGAGGGAATCGTTTGCCTTTTGATTTCAACACTAATTATTCAATTGATGTGCTGTGGTTTTGGTATCATCCTCATCCGGTCCCTTCCCATATTTACTTTTTCAGCTCACGAGAAACATAGTTTCATTTTCACGGAGTAACATGAATGTTATTCTTTCTCTCGTAGTGAATTCTGACCAAGAATTCATTTTCACCACTCCATCGCCTTGTGCGTACATTTCATTACCCACGACATATAATACCCTCG